AAAACCAAACATTGGCGTCGAGACAGCTTTGTTTACCGGAGATGCGGGGTATTCTTTTTTTTTTTTTTTGCTCGCGCATGCGCGGGGGGCAGCGGGTGCAGTGTTGCCAACGCTCGGTTGGCCCAAAAGTACCTATGGTCGCGTCACCCACGTAGCCCAACCCTTGAATGACCACTTGAAGAAAGACTAAGCATTTAATTGGAACAGGGAAGAGCAATGTGCATTAGAAGCTCTCAAGTCAGCGTTAATTTCCGAACTTGCACTTGGATATTTTGATTATTCATCCCCCACCGAAACTATGGAATAGGAGCAGTGTTAGTACTGATACAAAATAGAAAGGAAAGAGGCATTGCTTATGCATCTAGAACCTCGAATAAGGCAGAAAAAAAGTATTTGACTACAGAAAAGGAATGCCTTGCCATCATTTGGGCCATCAATAAATTCCGACCATATGTTTTGAACAGCCGTTCACTATTGTTACAGACCACCATTCTTTGTGCTGGCTGACCAACCTCAAAGACCCATGTGATTTGTTAGCAAGATGGGCATTTCTCTTGGGGAGATTTCCAACATCAGAATGTGGCAACCGTTGTATTATTGTATGTACGGATATCTAACGAAATATGCGATAACTAAAGCCCTATCCACAAGTGAATCCATGGAAGTTGCTAAATTATTTATTGAAGATGACATCTTAAAGCTCGGCGCGCCGAGGGAATTAATCACGGATTAAGGACAGAACTTTACATCTTCAACCAGTGCAGAATAACCTATCGGAAGACGATAGCCTACCATCCCCAGACAAACGGACTCACCGAGAGGTTGAAAAAGACCATAGCAGATATGCTGGCTATGTGGATGTCAAGAAGAAAGATTTGCACACAACACAGCAAAACAAGAGTCTACTGGTTTCACCCCATTTTTCCTTATACAAGGACGTGAAGCAGAGACTCCACTGGACGTGTTATTCCCTAAGTTATTGCCAGAAGATGACGATTTCAACCTAACTCTAGAGTCAAGAGCCGAAAGAGCACGACAACTGGCACGTATCCACGCCATGAGGTCTCAGGAAAGTAATAGAATCCGTTGTGACGCTCACCACAGGAACATAATGTACCAGCCAGGAGACCTAGTCAGTAACTTTATTCCTGCCCGCAAGGTGGGATATTCCGAAAAATCAATGCGACGTTACTTCGGCCCATATAAAGTCACACGAAAAATATCCATGTGGCTTACGAGTTGGAGACATTTGGGAACCAACAAGGTCGACTCAATACTACAGACATAGTCCACATTTGTAGGATGAAGCCTTATTTAGACCCAGAGGACCTGGAGAACCACCTAGAAGAGGACCCAGAAGACGACTCACCGAGCTCTCAGAAAAAGATGCCCAACGGGAAGAATACAGCTACCAACGAGACCCGAAGTGATCTCTGGCCCTTTTACTCGGTTTCGAGCCCTGAGACTAAGGACGTAGTAAGGTTTTGCTGAGCATCGAGTAGATGCTCTTTATAGGAGGAGGCTATGTGGCGAAGAAATAATTTTATAACTTTATTATTTATTCAATAAATTATAATGCACAGCATAATACAACTCTGTATTTATGAAATATTGTTATATGTCTTATAGCTTTGTTGTTAAATATTCTCTAGCTGTAAATAATTTTTATGCAGACGACTTCACCCTGTTGACTCAAATTCGGGGCCGTCTGCCGACCAAAGCTATTAACACATTTCTGGATCAAATAGCTTCATTGTGCACCGAGAATGGACTCGAGCTGAACTCCAGAAAGACGCAAGCCTGTATCTTCCAGGGGCGTAGAGTCCGTCCCAATTCCGACTCTGGACTCATAATCCATGGCCAAACCATCCCTATTAGAAAGACTATAACCATCTTGAAGGTGGAATTCGACCAGGCATGAGGTTTCGTCTCTCACCTATCTAAACTCATTCGCAGGTGTCGAGCAATTGTTCCAAGATTGACGAACTCAATCCATAGGAAATTCGGTATTTTCTATGCTGCTGGCATTAAAATCCTTCAGTCGGTGGTAATCCCGGCCCTTCTATACAGAGTTTCAGCCTGGGGTCGTCGCGCTTCCTCAAAGGAAGGTGCCCGTCAGCTCTGGAGCATTCACTACACGTTTGCAAAGCATATATTGAGAGGGGGCCCTTGTTTTCCTTACAGGCAGCCCCCCTCTTGACATCATCATCCAGGCCTGGCTGACTTTCCTGAAGGAGATCAAAGAGGGGAACTACGAATCGAAGCCAGGACCTGCTCCGCTTCCATACCCCCACTCAGACGACCCCTTTCCTTCAGTTTGAACCTAGAAGAGGTAACAACGCCACTAATTTTCACAGAGTGATCAAAAAGTGAATAAGGCGTTGGTGCTGCGATCATCTCCCCTTCCCAAGAACATCAGCCAGTTCTCTTACGGCTTCACCCAGAGTGCACTTCCTTTCAATCTGAACTCTTGGCAATTCTCTGGGCAGCTCAAATCGCGGAGACTTGTCCATCCAAAACAGCAGTGACCATTGCCTCGGACTATAGATCCAATTTAGCAGATATCTGCTATCTACTATCTATCATACTCCACCTTGCCTCGAACTTATGCTCGAAACGTAACACGTAAGGCTGCTATATCATCACGGACTGTATTATATTCCCAAGACCATTCGACCCGATCCCTCAGGAGAGTTGCTTCCACTCCAAGCCATCTCCTCAAATTTCTACCAAATTTCCGCCATGGAGAGGCCCCCACCCCTATCCTCACGGGTCATGGTCATGTACTGGCAGACATACATTACACTTGTGCATCCCGAAACAGACCCTACCTGCATCCACTGTTCAGAAGAGCCACAGATTCGATCATCTTCTCTTCAGCTGTCCAGCATTCCTGAGACATAGGATGCAAACAGCTATCCTGTTTGGACTGACCCACCTCAATCCTATATCTACTTATGTGTATAGCCATCCTTCCAGGCTCAATCTCAGCATGGAACTTTCTGGTCAACTGGTTAAACTCAGCAATCAAAACAGAACGCGAGTAAAAGCGCTCAACACTGGTCCATACTAGTCAACTGGACTCCCTGGGTAGTTAGCGCTCTGCGCTCCAGGAACCTGGGTTATAAATATCGCTCTCTCTCTCTCTAGCTGTAAATAATTTGTGAGTTTTAATTGTAGTCGCCTAGTCGTGCTGACGTCATAATTAAATAATATTTTGCTTAATCATTTATTTGTTTAGTCATCCATTACTACGCTACAATATGTTTCTTGGCGTATAAAGACTAAAATTATTTACAATCCCGGGAAAATTGAAGAAAAAGAAATCACAAATCATGGATTTGAAATTGGAGGCCCTAGTCACATTCTAAAAATAATGTGAAAGAGTTTATAGCTTTTTATATATATATTTAAAAAGCAACTTCCCACGCCGGGAATCGAACCCGGGCCTTCTGGGTGGAAGCCAGATATCCTAGCCCTACTAGAGACTTAAATAGGAATTACAAATGAAACTCATAAACTTATATTATTTTTGCTTATATTATCAATTTTATTTTATGTAAATTGAAATTCTGCAAAATCGTGCAAAGACGAAACACGTGTTCGCATCAATTGTATTGTACTAAATGACAAGACTGGGAAGAAGGAAGGACACTCCGGGCACAAAGCGATCTGCACGGTCCTTGTAGTTAGCTAATTGAAAACATTAAAATAGTAATCGGGTTGTCCTTATGTGAAAATTTAAAATGACCGCTCGTGTTTTCAGGTTGTTGTAACACAAAAATAAAATAAAGGACAGCTATGTTCAATAAAATCGCTGCACAACCGTCATACATATGCGGGCAGTGATGATTGTGTTGTCGGTGAATGATACAAATTACATGTATTCTAGATATATTAATGTAAATTATTTTATTTATATATATATAAACATTTCGTTAATAGTTAACGCACAAATATAAAAAAGGAGAGACGGCTAGCACTCCCCTTGACAAGGATGGAATGGTCTTTGGACCCAACACATATACAGTTAGCACTCCCCTTGACAAGGAAGGAATGGTCTTCGGACCCAACACATATACAGTTAGCACTCCCCTTGAAAAGTATGGAATGGTCTTCGGACCCAACACATATACTGTTAGCACTCCCCTTGACAAGGATGGAATGGTCTTTGGACCCAAAACATATATGGTTAAGACACACACATAGAGAGAAAGATTAAAAGGGAAAAATGAAAGGAAAGTACAGTCAAGAAGACTCCTCCAACGACGAAGATTTCTCCTCAAGAAATGCAGGGAGAATTTCTACCAAATTTCCGCCATGGAGAGGCCCCCACCCCTATCCTCACGGGTCATGGTCATGTACTGGCAGACATACATTACACTTGTGCATCCCGAAACAGACCCTACCTGCATCCACTGTTCAGAAGAGCCACAGATTCGATCATCTTCTCTTCAGCTGTCCAGCATTCCTGAGACATAGGATGCAAACAGCTATCCTGTTTGGACTGACCCACCTCAATCCTATATCTACTTATGTGTATAGCCATCCTTCCAGGCTCAATCTCAGCATGGAACTTTCTGGTCAACTGGTTAAACTCAGCAATCAAAACAGAACGCGAGTAAAAGCGCTCAACACTGGTCCATACTAGTCAACTGGACTCCCTGGGTAGTTAGCGCTCTGCGCTCCAGGAACCTGGGTTATAAATATCGCTCTCTCTCTCTCTAGCTGTAAATAATTTGTGAGTTTTAATTGTAGTCGCCTAGTCGTGCTGACGTCATAATTAAATAATATTTTGCTTAATCATTTATTTGTTTAGTCATCCATTACTACGCTACAATATGTTTCTTGGCGTATAAAGACTAAAATTATTTACAATCCCGGGAAAATTGAAGAAAAAGAAATCACAAATCATGGATTTGAAATTGGAGGCCCTAGTCACATTCTAAAAATAATGTGAAAGAGTTTATAGCTTTTTATATATATATTTAAAAAGCAACTTCCCACGCCGGGAATCGAACCCGGGCCTTCTGGGTGGAAGCCAGATATCCTAGCCCTACTAGAGACTTAAATAGGAATTACAAATGAAACTCATAAACTTATATTATTTTTGCTTATATTATCAATTTTATTTTATGTAAATTGAAATTCTGCAAAATCGTGCAAAGACGAAACACGTGTTCGCATCAATTGTATTGTACTAAATGACAAGACTGGGAAGAAGGAAGGACACTCCGGGCACAAAGCGATCTGCACGGTCCTTGTAGTTAGCTAATTGAAAACATTAAAATAGTAATCGGGTTGTCCTTATGTGAAAATTTAAAATGACCGCTCGTGTTTTCAGGTTGTTGTAACACAAAAATAAAATAAAGGACAGCTATGTTCAATAAAATCGCTGCACAACCGTCATACATATGCGGGCAGTGATGATTGTGTTGTCGGTGAATGATACAAATTACATGTATTCTAGATATATTAATGTAAATTATTTTATTTATATATATATAAACATTTCGTTAATAGTTAACGCACAAATATAAAAAAGGAGAGACGGCTAGCACTCCCCTTGACAAGGATGGAATGGTCTTTGGACCCAACACATATACAGTTAGCACTCCCCTTGACAAGGAAGGAATGGTCTTCGGACCCAACACATATACAGTTAGCACTCCCCTTGAAAAGTATGGAATGGTCTTCGGACCCAACACATATACTGTTAGCACTCCCCTTGACAAGGATGGAATGGTCTTTGGACCCAAAACATATATGGTTAAGACACACACATAGAGAGAAAGATTAAAAGGGAAAAATGAAAGGAAAGTACAGTCAAGAAGACTCCTCCAACGACGAAGATTTCTCCTCAAGAAATGCAGGGAGAATTTGTTAATTTCCCTCACACACACACCTCGAGGCTTCGGAAAAACTTGGAGGCCTTGGTTAACGCAAGGACGGAGTGGGCGTCGTTGACCAGCCCGAAGAGCCAGGCCGGGTGGCCGCTGGATGATGTTGAAGGATGAGAGGTCAGCGGCATTATCTAGATTTATATTTTCTAATAATTTTATTGAATCCGTCAATGATTAATCTCATCATACACATAAAAGTTAATAGATTCATATTAAGAGGAAAACTATAAACAAGACTATTTACAATTATATACAGTCGAGAAGGCTTCCCAACGTCGAAGAGTCCTCTTCCAGATAATCAGGGAGTCTTCGAGCCTTCTCAAGATGTACTATGGTCTTAAGTTCTAAATGTGCAAATATAAGCATTCCATTTAACTCTCTCCGTGAGTTAACTCTTTATCAAAATCAAAGGAATAGAAATTTTCAGCGCTATATTTAGTTCTTTTTTTTTTTAATTTTCAATCAACAATTCTAAATTGTATAAATATTTTTGCTAGCCGAATGGACAGATGCCTTCAGCCACGTTTTCTTATGGGGCCTTTCCAGTTGAAAAAATAATTAAATTAAATATAACATTATTAAAAATATTTATTTATTAACTCTATGAGCGCTGTCCTAAGTGGCAAAAAGCTGAACTACAGAAAATTGGTTTTCGATTCAATAAAATACAATATATTCTTCAATTTTTTTGAAGCATGTTTATATTGAATTATGACCAAATTTTGGTCGTAGAGGTACAGCCTGACGCTGGTACGCTGTGACGAGGGCCAAAAGCCCGAAAAGCGAACGTGTTTGGATTTTCCTGATTTATCAAGAAATTGGGTTGGCTAAATATCACGGAACAAGTTATATAAACGTTTTGTTTATTTTTGTTCCACTAGATGGGGATCTGCCATTTAAAAATGTTCATGTAAACGAGGTCAGGATATGCTTTTTTTATTTTAATATTATATATATATTCATTTATCTTTATTTAAAATTTTTTAACGATCACTCTAATAGTTTTAGTAGGGGAATCGATTTAACAGTTCATTTTAATATATAAAACTATTCTAGTCTTTTAGAGATTTTATGTCTATATTGATATAAAACTGCTCTGTCTTCAACAAAGAGAATTATCTCTATGAAGATACCTAAAATTAAAGAAAAACAAGGCGAATACAATAGCCTACCTCGAGGGGGGGGGGGATATTTTTCAGGGCCGAAATTTTTTGCGATATCCACATTCCACCCATGCTTCCTCTCCATCTCCTTTTTTTTTCACAATACTTCAGATACTATTATAATACTTATCGACCCCCTCTCTCTCTCTCATGACATTAATCATAATATAATAGAGCATCTTAAAATTGTTATTTTGGTATCATCATGATTATTGGCCATTTTGCGGCCTACTACGTGCTGCGCCTCCTCCGATCCAGCGCTCGGGTGGCAACGGTTGCTGATTGAAGATTTACACTGAAGAAACCACTAATAACGTTTGGATGTGCGCTAATAATGATAATAGCAGAAATATATTAGACGTGAAAATATCAGTGGGGAATGTTTGAAGTAAATTTATAAGCAAAACTGATGGGTTCGCGTCCAATCGCGTGTAAAGGTTTTGCAAATAATTATTTTGAATGTGTTTATACTTAGGAGAAACGCCTGTTTAAGGGTTTTTAACTCGAATTCTTACTAAAATTAATAAATTAGCATATAGATATTTTGCGAAGTATGTGATTGATTATTTTAAAATATTTTCTGCAATTTCCTACGCGATGGGGCATATCTCTAGTCTGTAGTGCATTTGTGAAGAACTCTGATGGACCTTCACATTTCCAGTTTCATTGGAAGGATCTGTGCAGCGCGACCTATCACGTAATATTGCCATAGCCTACGTCAAAACCCATCTCTACAATTATATTCCCAAGTATATTACACTCTAATCAAAGGTATGAAATTGTGAGGCGAAAGGTTTCTTGTAAGTTTTTATTATTTAGCCGAGCTTTCGAGAATTCCTGCCCTTCTACAGGAGATAAAATTATTCATTGAAGTGATCATATGTGTACCACAAATGTAGAAACAGTCTGTTCGACCTTTGCACTTACAAAGTGCCAGGCCAAGTTTAATGTCAAGTTTAAACCTTATAAATAATGTGAATCATCATAAAGCTACAGCTTTTAAAAACTCTTTTGACTTTTATCGAATATGGAATTTTTGTAAATGGTTTAAATAATGTGTGTGTGTTCGAAAGGGGAAAAAATTGTTTTCAAACGGATGGCAAAGTTTAGCTACCTGCTCTCACTAGTGGGGTAAATTGTTCAAGAATGAAATCATTGAAGCAGAAGTCAAAATAATTAAGAAGAACGTAAGAACCTTGAAGTCATCAACTTTCGAAAAAAGTAACGATTAAAAAGTCGACTAGGCCAAACCGCAATGAGCCACCAGACTTCCGAATCTAACTCTCCTCTCATTACAACACTTCTGCAGAATAAAAGAGAGAATAAATATCTATCCACAATTAACGAAATTATACATCAATATAATTTTAATATAAGATATTGAAAATAAATTATAACAGATATTATTTTTGAAACCTTTAATATTATAAAATAACTAGCCGAGTGACCCGGGCAACGCCCCAGGTTTACTCGAAGGGCCCGCAGGTGAGAAACTATAGGCATTGGTTCCTATGCCTAAAAAAATTATTTAAAATGAAAAAAGAAGGAAAATATTAACAAATCAGAAAATAAAATTGCAAAAAAAACACATCTACACTACTTCAAGAACATGAGAGCACATGCACTGTACCATACCATGCACTGCACATACGTGTACCATTTGCAAAGACCCCGCTTAGGATTAAAATTTCTCAGAAAAATAACAATACAACCAACTCGTGTTTGGTAAGCAATTTCAGGAAAGAAACTATAGGCATTAGTTGAAGAGTTTAAATAAATATATTTAGAGTGAAAAAATGACACAAATCAGCAAATAAAATTGCAAACAATGCTACTATATCGCAGATAAGACAACATATAAAAGGAATGAAATTATTTAAAGGACCTCATTAAAACTACATTTCTAGTTTTAGATATACATGTACAATATAACCTCGATAATTCGACCATGTTTTGTTGTCCTGACCTACAGCCTATCATATAACAAACTGTAATTCAACACTATCGATAATTCGACCATTTTAAATTTCAACAATTGATTGTTGCTTAAATATAACTTCACTGCTAAAAAGGTATTACAGAGAAAACGGCTGACATTGTAAATGTACAAAATTAATGTATAGAGCAGGGGAATAATAAATAAAGACCAAAATCAAATTAATTGATAATAAAAATATTATTGCCAAAAAAAAAAATACAAAAAATATTTTCTTCTCCTTTCTTATCTTCACTCAATCATATTAGAGTGTCAAGCTTGTAAAGCTTGAAATTAACAACCATCATGATTGGGTGAAGTAGAATGCGTCTGCCTTTGTCATCAAGACTGGGAGCACTACTCAGTGGCAGGCCACTGACTTAGCTCCAAAAGAAATGCCGCCTCTGACATGAGGAACAGACTCATGTGCAGCCGCTCCTAACATGGAGTACAAACGCTGCTCATTCTGTATCCCTGGATTAGGAGCCCTTACAAGGTACTATCAGCCGGGCCAGCTGAACCAGGTTTTTTTAGTGAGCTTGTTACTGCTCCCCCTCCTCCTTTTTCATCCTGGCTTGGGACCGGCGAAGGCGGAGTTTTTTTTCTTTCAGGTGAGAAACTTTAGGCATTGGTGAAAAGTGTAAATATATATTTTGGAAATGAAAAAAAAGGATAAAATAAATCAGAATATAAATTTACAAACTATATTTCAGAGGAGACGATTTATAATAGGAATTCATTTAAATGACCTCATTAAAAACTACATTTTATATATACTTGGGTTCAACTTTACATGTATGCTATCCAAAGTTCGCACACTTGAAAAAGTCACATAAAGTCGTCTGTGCGTAAACACAGGCTCTTGTAGCAAAGGTTTGGCCTTGAGCCCTCTTTATAGTCATAGCAAAGGCCAACCTTAGTGAAACATAAAGCCTCTCTAGAATGAAGCGAAAGTTGGTATCCGAAGGGGACAAAGATATTTCAGACATTATACAGTGTGTTCAACTTTGGGCACTGTCAGTATATGTGCTTCAAG